TCGACCCTACAGCCAAATCATATGGAATCCGACTCATATAAAATATTTCCTCATCTGTAATTGGGCTTTGAGTCTTACTTAATTTTGAGTTTTTTTGAATAGGTAGTTCTCCTTTCTTGGAATTTTCCATACTAAACCGTTTCAGTACCTTACCCAAGTATGTACTTTAAGTCCAATTAGTCTTCTCTTTCTATCTCTCAAAATTCTTATCCCGAGAATATATACTACATCTCCTAGATCCTCCATAGTGAAACATTTTCCAAGCCAAGATTTAATTTTTACAAGGTTGGAATGTTGTTTCCTATAAGTAGTATGTCATCAACATATAATACTAGAAAGCTACTATACTCCCACTAGCTTTGACATACACACATGACTCATCCTCACTTCTAGAAAAACCAAATTCTTTGACTTTTCCATGAGATCAAAGATTTCAATTAGGATATGCTTCTTTCAATCCATAAATGGATTTCTCAGCTTATACACTCTATTAGGAAGCATTGCATCAACAAAATTATTTGGCTTAGTCATGTAAACTTCCTCAGCCAATTTCCTTTTAAGGAAAGAGGTTTTGACATCCATCTGCCAGATTTTATAGTCATGAAAGACAACTATAGCGAGAATTAACCTAATAGATTTTATCTTAGCCACTGATGAGAAGGTCTCATTTTAGTCAATCCTGGGAGTTTGAGTAAAGACCTTCATAACCAGTCATGTCCTGAATGTGTGCATATTACCATCCATATCGGTCTTCTTCTTGAAGACCCACTTCCAAACTTGGTTGTCATACATGGACTTGATATCGTTTTTTGTTGCCTCTTTCCACTTAGCAGCCTCAGGGCCTACCATAGCTTCCTTTTAGTTAGCTGGTTCTTCCAAATTTACCAGTGTACGATCACTGATAAATGTATCACCATATGTAGTTATATGGAAACCATAGAACTCAGCTGGCATGCTAACTCTACTGGAACGACGAAAAGGTAACGAATTGCCAACTATCTTAACTGGAATTCTTTCTTCTAGTTGAGTGATAATGTCTTCTAAGGTTTCTTCATTGGTTGACTCTTGAATCTCATCAAGGTTAATTGTGATCTCATTGTCCTCTTTGCATATGAGCTCTCTCTCACAAAAGACTCCTTTGTATGCTACAAAGACCACGTTCTAGGTAGGTCTGTAGAATAAATATCCAAAAGACAATTTTGGGTAGCGAATGAAAATACACTTCTCACTTCTGGATTCTAACTTGTCACAAGTCTCTCGTCTAACAAAAGCTTCACAACCCTAGATTTTGATATGTGCTAAAAAGGGAAATCTCATGTCCACATCTCTTAAGGTGTTTTGGCAACCTTTTAGTAGGGACAAGATTGAGGATATGGGCGTTTGTCTCTAAGGTATACCTCCAGAAGGAAATAGGAAGAGTAATTTGACTCATCATGGAACGAACCATGTCCAACAAGGTTCAATTGCGCCTCTCAGCCACACCATTAAGTTGTGGTGTCCTAGGAGGAGTCAATTGTGAAACTATTCCGCATTCCTTGAGGTAGTAGTGGAACTCAATACTAAGATATTCTCCTCATCTATCAGATCTGAGCATCTTTATCTTCCTGGCTAATTGATTCTCGACTTCATGTTTAATCTCTTTAAAATTTTCAAAGGTTTCTGATTTATGTTTGATTACGTACTTATAGACATATCTACTATACTCATATATAAATGTTACATAAAATTGATTAGCATCTCTTGTGCTCGATCCGAAGGGTCCACACACAAGTCACAGTTTAATACACATCATTACAAGGTAAAGATTCAAATATAAAAACACCATGTTGTAAATAAGAATTAAACCATTTAAATCAATAAAAGAGTAGCGAAACCTTGTCTAAACAATGCATGAATGAAATAGTGTTTCATATCATTTCTGATGAATAGCAACAAGCAATTAAATTAATACTAACATCACTATTAAGCACAAGCTAATAAGTCCCAATCTGGTAACAGGAGAAGATCGCTTATTTCCCATAATCAGATTCATCCTCCTCGCTTTCTTTTAATCCCTACAAATCAAAACAAATCTGAAAACCACATGCTGTATCAAGGACCCAAGAACGAGTAGATTGTGAGTTATTTGTTTGAATAGTGTATATATCTAATGATGATTGCTTTACTTTTCCATCATTGATGTCTTGCAGGTACTTAGGGCAATAGTAACAAGTGGCCTCTTTGGGGTCACTAACAGCTGGAATATCTAAATTAGGCCTTACCTTTGGGCCATTGCTAGATGACCTAGCTTGGACCTTTTTCTTCCAATTAGCTTTAGTAGCAGCCTTCCTTTTCTTCCCTTTTCCCTTGTTGATGGACAAAACAGGAGCATTAGTAGAAGGGGCTGGATTCTTTCCCTTCATTCCTGACTCAACAATCTGTAGCAAGTTGTAGAGTTGGGACAATGTGGTTTCTGTGCTGTTTAAATGATAAGCTAATATAAACTGATCATAAAAACTTGGCAAGCAGCTGAAGACCATGTCAATGTCCAACTCCTCATCAAAGTGCACATTGATCCTAACAAGGTGTTCCATGTATCTTTGCATTCTCTACATATGGTTGCACACAGACTCTTCCTTTTTCATCTTGCAAGCCATGAGGGACTTGACCACTTCATATTTCTCTGGACGAGCTCTTCATGTGGTACTTTTCCACAAGTCATTGTTCATGTCATATGGCTAGTAGTCCTCATAGAACTTTTGCAACCCAATAGCCATGGTAGCGATCATGATGCAAGCAACTTTTGTTGCATCATCATAATGTTTCTTGTAGGATGCTAGTTGTTTAGGAGTAGCTTTGGCTTCATCAATTTCAACAAGTTTTTCTTCAATAACATATATGTTGCCCTCGAATTCAAGATCCATCTTGATATTACACATATAATCATTGTAGTTGGTTCCATCAAAGGTCACCTTGGACATGATAGAGAGTAGGGAGAAACCTGAGTGGTGGATAGATGACGATGGCGCAGAAGCATCACCAGGAGTAGACATCTACAAGAAAAGAAGGTGCTTTTAGTTAGATGACAATTATCCTTAATATTTAACCTATAATAATAACTTTAAGGCTAGGATCCAAAATAACAATTCACAACTAAGAATAGGGATGTTGTAATCTTATTGCAAATTTATGAAGGTAGGTAAAAGAAATTTACCAATTTCGAACTATGAAATTCCTAGATCTTTTGAGATTCATCAAATCTATCAATGTCATGTTTAATCTCATATTATGTTCTTCTATTTGTGATTGGGATACCTAGGATCACAAACCAGATGTGAATAACCATACAAATATGTTTGGCACTTCTAGATGTCATTTATCATCCCATTTTAATGTGCCGACCACCCACATGTTCTCCATTAATCGATGACAATTTTTAAGAATCCCATTATTACTTTTTATAGTCACTATTAGTGTTCCGGTTAACCACATACGTTCCACTAACTACTATAAAGTATAATGTGTTATTTTATGGATCAGCATACTTTTCAAATTTTCCCTAATGTAACTAATAGTGGGATTTTATAAAATAGGTTAGTTACTTAATAGCATTATACTTTTAGTGAAGTTAATGTCCTATCAGACTTGTTCTGCTAACAACGCTCCACCAAACAAGGAAGCGGTGGTGAGACTGGACACCCATTCAACTACCATTCTATAGGCAGTTTCCTAATACCCCCTTATAGTTCGGCGTTGTAAATGAGGCATACTAGTGATCCGAATCACTTATTCTTATATATATATATATATATATATATATATATATATATATATATATATATATAGGGTTAGATTTATGTGAGACGGCCTAATTTTGTGAGACCGTGAGACGCATTTTTTTATTTTTATTTTTTATTTTCTATTTTTTTTAGTTAATTCAAATTCCGAAAATGATATTTTAAAAAAAAGAATTTTTGGATTTTACCATTTATTTTGCATTTTTAAATTATTTTTTAGAATATGTACAGTGTAATATTCTATTAGAATATTTCACGTATTTTTCAAAAAAAAAAATGGAACTTTTTTTTTATTTTTTTTAATTTTTTTTTAGTTAGTTCAAGTTCCGAAAATAATATTTAAAAAAAGAATTTTTAGATTTTTCCATGTATTTTGCATTCTAAAATTATTTTTTAAAATATGTCAGTGTAATATTCTATTAGAATATTTCACGTATTTTTCAAAAAAAACGAGATTTTTTTTATTTTATTTTTATTTTTTTAAATTTTCTTTTAGTTAATTGAAGTTCCGAAAATAATATTTAAAAAAAGAATATTTGGATTTTTCCATTTATTTTGTATTTTAAAATTATTTTTAGATTTGGTCTCACGGTCTTACAAAATTAGAATGATCTCAAATGAACCTGAACTTATATATATATATATATATATATATATATATATATATATACACATATATATATATATATATATACATATATATATATATATATATATATATACAGAGAGAGAGAGAGAGAGAGTTAGGTTCAAATGTTTTTAGCAACTATTGTGTGCCTAAATGCACCAATGAGAATTCAAGAAATAATAAATAATTAATTAAATCAATAAAGGGTATTTTGGATTTTTTGTACTTTTATTTATGGAAATTATTTAATTGAAATCATTCAATTAAGGAAATAAACTAATCATTCAATTAAGGAATTAAACTAAATATATTTGACCTAGTTGTGTTTGTGGCTGAACACTTCATCATCGGCATCAACACCATCACCATCAAATGAAGACGAGAATCGGAGATGCTTTCGTCACCACCACCAAGCGTCTGTTTCTGTCTCCACCTTCAGTTTCTTGAATTCCAGAAAACAACGCTCATTTAAATCCCTAATTTCCCAATCTATCCTGGCTTCTAAGCGTCAGTGTCAACGGTTTCCATGTCCAAAATCGTAGCAGTAGGGTTTCATCGGGTTCGTGTCAATTCAGGAAAAAAAAGGCATTGTGCGCATGATTGGGAACGGGAGAGATTCTGATTTTGTCTCGCGACTCGGCGTCGGTTATATGCGCCGCATGGAGCTTGGTAGCGCTGGCGCCGGAAGTTTGTTCCGCTCCTCTACAAAGTCCAGATCAGTCAAAGCTCAAGCCTCCGGTTTGTTCATTGGATTTGCTCTCTATTTACACTTCATAATTCAATCCAATTTTGCGCACAACTATTCTGTGTATTGGTGTATAACCTAATGTCATTTGATGAACAACTTAACCGAACTAATTGAATAACAGAAGAATCAAATCACAATTTTCTAACACAAATGATTAAATTAAGATGGAGAAATTACTCCTCTCAAGATCCAATCAAAGTCTTCTGGATCAGTTTTGCCTTACGTTGGTATTGCAAGTCTGGGAGCAATATTGTTCGGATATCATCTAGGGTACATCACATAATTCTACATCATAAAACTACTACTGTTCTATAATATAATTCTCATCTAATTCCAAATCTATTTTCTGCTTCAGTGTTGTCAATGGTGCACTTGAGTATCTTGCCAAGGATCTTGGTATTGCTGAAAACAATTGGCTGGAATAAATGCGGTTGTGTATTATTCCACTTCTGTAAGGAATACAATTCTTTGAACCTTGTGGTATGCATTCTAAAACAGATATGTTGCTGGAAATTATGTATTCTACCATAATAGAATCGATATATTCTGCCAGAATGTATTATATGTATTCTGTTATATTCTATTTATTCCACCAAAATATATTAAGTGATAGTTAATTGCAAGCAAATTTTTTTAACAATTATTAGTTTTTATTGTATTTGTGATAGAAATGGCTGGAAGAAGGCGTTGAAGACCTTTATATTCTTTTAAAATATGTATAATTATATTAAAATGTATAAGGATTTTAGTCTGTAAGAATATGTCTGAATTTGTATTTAAGTTCGGATATATAAGAATATATTAGGATTTTTGTTATTTTTCAACATCTTATTCAAGAATTTTGTTTTTCTTCAATGAAATTCTATTATAATAAAATTCTGAAAGAGAATTATTCTAACAAAATAATATTCTGTTAGAATAATATTCTGAAAGAGCATCATTCTAACAAAAAATATTCTGACAGAATATAATCGGTAAAATTTGAAATTGAATTAATTAAAAAATTCAGATTTTTTTTTTTAAATTAGGAGAATTAATCATCCCTAAAAATACGAAATTTTCCTTTTATAAATGTAGTTAATTGTCCAAAATACCTTTTTGCTAAAAATTATGTGATTATATGGTACATGTTACCCCATTGTAATATCATACACTTTCAAATCATGTCCATTGATTAATTTCATCCATTGGTCCAGATCTGTGCATTCTGGCACACAATACTTAGTAAAAACAAAATAATCTAAGCCTATATATATATATATATATATATATATATACATATATATATATACATATATATATATATATATATATATATATATATATATATATATATATATATATATGGGAAAAGTGAATATACCCTTAAGTGTATATAAACTTAGGTACACAAACTCAGCATATTACGTCGTTTTGTATCACATATAAACATTGTAATTGTCCAATGTTCTTCTAATTCAACTTCTAACTTAATTTAATTCCAACATTTTTATAAATTTTACATTAATCTTCCTCTTACATAATTTTCATTTTTAACTATTCTAAGAGGAAGATAATAGTAAATCAAGTTAGGGGTTGAAGTTTAAGAACATTATAAAGAATATATCAAACATAACGACGTATTATGGTGAATTTGGGTACCTAAGCTTATATACCCTTAAGGGTATATTCACTTTTCCCATATATATATATATATATATATATATATATATATATATATATATATATATATATATATATATATATGTAAAAGTTCAAATAAGAACCCTTAAAAGTTAAAAACCATTTAAGAACCACTTTTATTAAAAGTATTATGTCAATTTATATTTTTCTTATCATCTAACAACACTAAACCATTCTTATGAAACCTCATACACTTAATCTTTCTCATCATGTTGCAAATCCTCTCAACTTTCAAACATTTCCTTCTGATAAAATCATCACCACCTACCTCGACGAGTTAGGTCAACTAAAAGTTGACTTTGACTAGGATGTTGACTCTAGCCAGGGGTAAAATGGTCATTTTACCCTGACAATAGTTATCAGTGTTTTGACTAAGTGTCATTGTGGCAATTATAGCCAGGGAGTCGTTGGAGCAGCAGTCCCGCTCAGAATTTCAGCAGTCAGCTACGCGAGGTGAGTTTCCTTCCAGTAGGAACGGGTCTACGGCCACAATGTCGGCCCCTTTAGATGATAGTAGTTCCGGACTTGGGTCCGATGTTGGTGTAGTCCCAAGAAGTAGTTTGTATGCTTGATGTCTTTGTGATTCATGCATGTATATGTGATTATGTTATATGTTACGATCATGTTTATGTTTTGTTTAGTTAATTTTGGACTTTGGTCTGATGCACCGGGCAAGGACCTAGTTATTCCGGACTTCGTTCTGATGCAGTGGGTGAGGCCCTAGTTAGTCCGGACTTCGGTCCGATGCAGTGGGCGAGGCCCTAGTTAGTTCGGACTTCAGTCTGATGCAGCGGACAAGGCCCTAGGTATTCCGGACTTCGGTCTGATGCAATGGGCACGACCCTAGTTAGTCCATACTTTGGTCTGATGCAGTGGGCAAGGCCCAATATTTGCTTTATATATTATTGTATGGTATATGGTAGTTTTAGGGAGCTCACTAAGCTTCATGCTTACAGTTTTCACTTTTGTGTTCAGGTACTTCCACTAGCAAACGGAAGGGCTCGGGATGATCGCATGACACACACCATAGTCTTCAGCCTGGGAGTTTTACTCTGATATTTTGACATGAGATTTGATATGTGATAAATATTGTGAGATTTTGAAACACATAGCTTATGATTTTATGCTTTGGTAATGAAATGATGGTTTTAATGACATTTTAAAAACGAATTTTTTGGGTTGTATTTTTGGGATGTTTCAATTAAACTATGAAAGAGTTTTTTAATTCATTGAAATATGAGATGCTACTTATAATAAGTTATGAGTATATTGTATTAAACTGTAAATTTTGTGTATTAAGTTGTGAATTTTATTCACAACTTAATATGATAAATTCTCAATTTAATATATAGAAATGTCTCTAGATGTTAACGTATAAATATAAATTTTAAGCTGAAAATATGTTGTGAATATATAATTGTTTTGTATTAAGTTGTAAATTATTTATTAAACTGTGAATTAATTGTATTAAGTTGTGAATTAACTGTATTAAATTGCACATTTTTTATGAATTTTGTGTGTGCATCTGAAATATTAGAAGAATAAGCATTATACATCTAATTTTCTCTAATTTTAAATAAATTATATAAAATTTAAACTATGAATATTGTATAAATTAAACTTTGAAAGAAGCAATAGCCTCTATATCTAAGTTTTAAGTTAAGACTATGACATTTCTTTGTATTAATTTGTTAATTTATTATATTAAGCTGCGGATTTTATGTATTAAATGGTAATTGATTGTATTAAGTTGTGAATTGAATGCATTTTGTTGTAAATTTTTATAAATTTTGTGGTAAAATATGAATAATTTATGTATGACTTTTTGTATTAATGTTCTTATAAATATATTTATTTTTGTGTGTTGTATAAGTACGTAAGAATACATTAGTTTTTATAATTGTGTTGTGTTGAATTCAAAATGAGTTAACTAATAGGTTTATTAAACTATGAATATAATATTTAACTCGTATTGGATGACTTCATATACAGATTTGATTCGGAAGGATGATGGTTGCGACGTTGGCACATGTGGTTGGTGGCGGCGTGTGATGGTGGTGGTGGTGGTCGTCGTAGAGTTTGGGTATGACTTCTTTGAATTTATGAATTAGTGTAAAGTATATTGTATTAAGCTATCAAGTTTATGTCTTAAACTGTAAATTGACTCTATAAAGTTGTATTTTATATTACAAAAAAATAGAATATAATTGAATGTATGATTGAGAATATTAGAATAAAAAAATTATGATTTTGCCATATCCTTACCAAAAAGACAAAAATCAGGATTTTAACATATTTACTAATATTTATTGTACATATTCATTTATGAAAGAATGGTTCTTAGAGTTTTTGATCTTTTGTGGTTCTCATTTGAATCACTCCATATATATATATATATATATATATATATATATATATATATATATATATATATATATATATATATATATATATATATATGATGGGTTTGAGCATAACATCAATCCTATTGTGTTCATGCAACCCTAATTGCTTTGATCTTGGTTTTTCAAATTTGAACATACAACATTGAATACCAAAGCAATAAACCTTAGATCTAACATACTATAATTGAAATTAACATATAATTAGGGTTTAGATCTTACCTTGATTGTTAGGTAGCAATAGCTAATGGGTTTTGGTCATAAGAATATCCTATGTGCTCATACAAATCCTAATGCTTGGATGTAGGTTTCTCTATTGTACATGCAAGTTATCCAAGACTATAAACCCTAATTCTAGCATATGATAATTGACATTAACATAAGAATAGGTTTAAGATGTTACCTTGATTGTTATGTAGCAATAACAATCCAATTCCTCCTTGTATTGACTTTAGAAAGCTTAGAGTCACAAATGTCACTCCTCTAGTGGTTCACAAACACCATAAGAAAGAGGATGAAGAGGAGAGAGGATAGAGGCTGCCCAAAACCGTCTACAAAACCCTAGAGAAGTCTTAGCCACGTTTTTGGATCATAAGGGGTCTTTATATAGTAAGGATATTAGGGTTATCTAACAAGGAAACCCTAAATTGGATGCTTAAGCCCTAAGCAACCCATGGAGCCCTTTCCTCAAGGCCTTGGACGATTTCATATGGGCTTCCCCCATAGAATTCGTCCACCTTATAATATAAGGCAATCCATGTCCCAATTGCCATTATCTTATAATTACAATTCCAGTCCCTTAAGTTTAATTAATCTCTTTTAGTCACAAAACTAATTACTAAGTAATTATTGACTAATATTAATTAAACAATATGATTTCTCCTTTAATATATTATTCTCATAATACATTAATAAATCATATTTAATCCTTTCTCTCCATAATTCATCCTATCAAGTTGCTTTGGTGAAGGCAACCCAAAAGGACCATGCACCATCGAGTCAAGTACATACCAAAATAGTTATGGACTTAGACACTAATCCAACAATAACAATCACAAACCTTCTTGATCTTGACTTCTGAAAGCTTAGTGCCCCAAGTGTTGCACCTCTAATGGAGTCACAAACACCACTAACAACAAGATGACTTAGGAGAGGGAGGAGGAGGTACAAAATTCATCCAAAGGCTTGATGGGTTTTATACAAACAATCCTATGTGTGCATGCAACCCTAGAATTGGATCTATGTTTTCACTATTAGTTACACAACATTATGAACACATAATAAAACCCTAATAAGTCATATTATTTTCGAAATTCACCAAAAAGATTAGAATACATATA